AGAGACTATGACTGTTGTATAAAATGTTTAAGTTTCAATTCTTCTCCATTCTGACTATCGAAACTAGAAGACAGAAACATATCATGTTAAAGTGTAGTGGTAAAAGTTTCCTGTCAAAAATCAGGGGGAAATAGTTCCCACATTACGGAAAAAAAGGGGTAAATTTGGCGGTCATAGTTAAGACATAGTTCACTTTAAAATGAGATGGGGCGTTTCCCCATTACATAGCCCATTAAGCCTAAATCTAACGCACTCTATTCCTCGGTAGTATAGTGGTGGGAGACCGGGGTTCGATTCCCCGCAGGGGAGATTCTTTTGGTTTTCGGATTGAGGTAAATGTATGAAATGCGTTTGTTTTTGTTTTTGTTTTGTTTTGCTTTGTTTTGTTTTTTTTTTAATTTTAACCCTGAAGTTTGGTCTGAAGGGTGCGTTTGATAGATCGTATTCTGAAATAAGACTTGACTTAAAATTTCTCTCTCAAATCTCCTCTAGCGTAATTGTTTGACCACGCCAATGTTACATACAAGTTTATTAAATAAAAATTTTAACTTTCATTTAGCTGAAGCCTTATGCATGTTTTTTATAGTCCATGGACAAGCCCGGACTTCAATAGGGAAATACCAGTTTGTCTCATGCTGGTCTCTCTTAGTTCGCCTCTCACCAAGGGCTAAAGGAAACATGAGTCTCCGTTAAATAAAGGTTACATTGAAGCATTCTTTTGTCGTTTCTGGTCATTTCTGCCCGTATATTTTTTGTAAAAAGCCTGGAAATATGCTATGTTTTGATTCAGAAGTCGATCGCCAGAAATGACTAGAAACGACAAAAGACTACTTTAAAGTAAGTTATTCAACTATATTATATAAAAATTTAACTTTCTTTAGTCGAATTCTATGCTCTCACCGTTAATGAACTACTTTCTCTACTTATTTGTTTCAAGGAAAGAAAAAAGTAAAATGTTTCCGGCCAGATTTGAACTGGCGACCTTCCGCGTATGAGGCGGACGTGATCACCGCTACACTACGGAAACCAATGTTAACAAATTCAACACCGTTTATTTGTTTTGTTTGTTTTGAATCTATGTGAGATAATACAGAAGCCGGATTGATAAAGATAAGTCTAAAGGGGTATTGCGGGAAATTTGCGAAGGAAAAACATATTTACAAGCAGTGTCAAAATAACAATAGGAAGAATTGCGAGGCGGTAATAATGGGCCGAGTGATGTAGCCTCAAGAATAGATCATTTTTCAGTTGTTCGGTTAGTAACATAGCCTTCAATTGAGTGTGAGGCCGAGGTTGACCTTGTTTTGATACAAACCTTTTTTGTCTTGATTTTGTGTTCTTATGGAAATTATAGTTGAAAAATACAAGTTTGCATAAGAACAACAAGCTCTCGAAATAATGCGTCACTCGCCCAAGATGCGCCATAGTTTCAAGCACACCATGTACAAGTAATTTTTAACCCTAAATAAAATTGTTCTTATTCACCAGATTTAAAAATTAAAACTTATTCCGTTACGGGAAAGCCCAACCTTTGATCCACTTGTCATACGTGAAAATGTAAAAGGCGGTTGACAATGTTTTGAATACCACTTTTAAAATTGGGCTTCAGACTGAAAAAGATCGATTTGTCCGTATTTTCGAGTTTAGATATTTCTTACACTTGCCTGATTTCCTTCTTTCTAGCAAAGCGTCCGCGCCCGCGAAGTGCACGCAGCGGAAGCCCCATACGGAAAAGGAAATTGAATCCTATTGATCCATTAAAAAAGAAGTCCAAAGCAAAGCTGGTCATAACAACGTATATTGCTTTTTTAAAACAATATTTCGGCTGGCCTTACCTGCAGCCTTCTTCAATAAGCCTGACAACATGCAGGATCGTCGCCCCCGGTTTTTGCAGTTAATTTCTTTTTCAAACCTGTCGATGCCAGAAAATTTGGTTATGATGTCACCGTACTCCGTCTATCCGTACAGACTCTGGGGTAGAGTAAAAAAAACCTCAGTGGGGTGGGGAAGGGAGTTTCAGACATATGTATGTTGCATTTCGTTTTGGCGCAAAAAAAAAAAAAACAAAACAAAACAAAAAGCAAAAAAAAAAGAAAGAAAGAAAAAAGTATTTAGAGGCAGCCAACAGGGCTGCATCCTTTTATGCTCCTTTTATGCTCAGATCAAGTTTTGTATAAAAGGTTCCTCGACTTCTACGGGTTTTAAGCGCTGGATTTTTGAAAACCGGGTTAACAAAATAATCAACAAAATCTGCTACTTGGCAATTTAAAACAATAAAACTTTAATTCAAAGGCCGATTAAAAGCCTTTATCTGACTCCGGACAGTAGGTTCTAGTTGCTAGAAGCATTACAACGAGTCCAAATTTCAAATGACGCAAATTTTAGAACATTTATTTAGCCTTCTGACTCCGTGAAATTTCAAACTGGTGTTATTTTAGTCTGGAAATTTTAAAGTTGTGTGAACTGCAGCGAAAAGGTGCCAGGTTAAGGCTTACATAAGAACTTAAATAGTTAGCAAAACACGATTTTTTTCGCGGTGCGATAAACGACAGGGTTTCGCCTGGAATAGACAACAAACTGAATGAAACATACTCCACAAATTATCACCTTGAGTTCTTATCTCCAAAAACCTGCCGTTTGGTTCAAAGCCATTAGAGCCCGCTGAAACTAGACCTAGATCCAATTTCCGAGAGTTGCTTTTCCAAGGTACAATCGGCTAACCTAAACACTGAAGAAATGTTCTTATGGCTGGCACAGAATATTTTAGCGAAACAGCTCAACCACAATCCCACACGAGTTTCGCGGCACTGACAAGACTATCCATAACCAAGCATAATCTTCTGACGTTTAACACAAGCCTAAGATCATCGAATAACTCGGAAAAACTCAGCCCACTGGCAGATACAAACCTCTGGACTTTTCTCTTACACTCGTCTTATTCAAGTTCCAAGATTTAGTCGGACGGTCGGCAGAGCAGCGCAGATCCGGACTTCATATCAGAAAAAATACTAAGTCTTACATGGTCTGGTGCGAAGTTCACCGGCAATTTTGCTCTCGCCTAATTCATTTGACTCCTAAGAGCCTGTTCCCGAGGCCTTCCTGTCTTCTTGTGGCTTAAATCATACAAAGTGCTTATTTATTTGTTATTTTGCATATAAAGCACAAAAAATACCATTTCTCGTGTTTCGAACCAGACTTCTAATTCTTGGTAAAAACCAAAATGGCGGCCATTATTGGCCGCCATTTAAAGGCCTCCAGCACCACCACCACCCCTAAACTATTCCTCATCTTGTTAAGAAGATCAAAGGTTTTCCACTAAAGGTAACATCGTTTCAAAATACTGCAACATATTAAAAACTCCGGGGAGGGGTTCCATCCACCTCTCCCCCACCCCGTTGTACAACAGTAGGAGTATGAAATTGCATGTACGTCCGAGGGATAAGATAACGATTATTCCTCGAATCTTACCCTTATTATATACGGTAGTTTCCGTAGTGTAGTGGTTATCACGTCCGCCTAACACGCGGAAGGTCGCCAGATCAAATCTGGCCGGAAACATTTTACTTTTTTCTTTCCTTGAGACAAATAAGTAGAGAAAGTAGTTCATTAACGGTGAGAGCATGGAATTCGACTAAAGAAAGTTAAATTTTTATATAATATA